GGGGCTTCCCGTTGTTTGAAGCTGATTAGGTACATGGCTAATATATCCTTCTTGTGTAAAAGACAGTAAATCATCCTTTAATGTATTTAATTCACTCTGAAATTTACTAATATTTTCCATTTGTGTATGCTGGCTTTCTCTCAACTGTTGAAGACTTTTTTCTGGTTTATTTTCTTTCTCCTCCAACCACTGCTGTAGTCTCTGTTCTTGTTCCTTTTCTTTCCCCTCCAACCACTGCTGTAGTCTCTGTTCTTGTTTCTTTTCTTTCTCCTCTAACCACTGTTGTAGTCTCTCTCTTCTTGTTTCTTTTCTCGTTTCTTTTCTAGTTCTTCTTGTTTCTTTTGCTGTTTATGCATTGCTGCCATCAAATCTGCTAAGTCGTAGATTTAAGTTGATTTGCCACTTCTCGTTTCCATTTTTTTTTCTTTTCCATCCCACTTCTGACACCAATTTGTTATGTCTCTGGCCGTTTGTTAATTTCCCGTAAAAATTCTTTCCGAAGAACTTCAGCGATACAAGTCCTTTCTTAAATAAAACCAGTTTAGGGTTTTTCAATACAACTTTGCAATACACAGAATTTCCACAGTCACTTTAACTTAAACATGCACTATAATTTGCAACGATTCGCGCACTTTACTTATGGTCACTACGGCTCACTTGACTCAATTATCTGTCTCTATATCTGTCTATCTGCTATTTATATGCCACCACCCTTCATCTCCGCTTTATTTGCCGGTCTTATATATAAAAATAGAGGGCGTCTGGCAAACACCAGAGTTGCCAGGAACAGTCATGATCCTTCTAGAAACTCATGTCACGTGACTTCCGCTGTCATAACAATATTATACCCAATTAAATGTGTTTGTTTTTGAGGTTGCAGTTAGCTTATGTGATAAAAAGCTTTGCCCCCATCCGTCAAAACCAAGAGATAGAGTTTTGTAAGAAAAAAACTGGGGGACCTCCATTCTTCCTTCAGCACAGTACCTAAATTAAAACGGTCTAACATTAGGTCGTAGCATAACATTATTTGATAGGTTGAAAAGTAGACTTTAAAAATTATAATTTGGCTAGTCTTGAAAAACAATTATAAGTTTATTTATTGGCAGTGTTAAGTATGGTAAATATTAGCCCTGACTACACTAGAATACTATTTCAAACCTGCATTTCGTTGTCTTGAACTTGAAATACACTTTTACTACATATATATGTTTTAGAAAATCAGTATATATTACTCCCTTCTAAGTTTGTTTTTCTTGTATTTGACTATGTGTAATGTAAATTATCTTTAATGTTTTTCATTTATAGGTGCACCGGTAGTTGCTTCTGCTCCTCACTTTTACCAAGCCTCGAAACAATACCTACAAAATGTGATTGGACTAAAACCTGATAAAACACTACATCAAACCTTCCTGGATGTTGAACCAGTAAGTAAGAACTTCTAAATTCTTAAGAAAATATAACTTTTACCTTTCCTGATTATTAAAACAGTAGTAGTTAAAGCAAGTTTTCGGTACTTAAAAATACACTACATCAAACCTTCCTGGATTTGAAATCAGTAAACAGAAAGTATTATTTAAAACTAGAAAAAACATAAAATATAACTGAATGCCAAAGCAATAAACATGAATAATTGTTTAAAACCAGAAAAAAAACTTCAAACCTTCTTGGATGTTCAATTGTGTAAGCAGTAAGAGTTGTTTTAAAACAAGAAAGCAAACGTCATACATTTATGGATGCTAAATCAGAACGCAGGAAGAATTGTTTAAAACCAGAAGAAAAATTAAACCTTCCTGGATTCTAGATCAGTAATCAGGAAGAGTTATTTAAACCCAGAAAACCCACACTACAACAATTCTTCCTGGATGTTGAGCCAGCAAGCAGAAAGATTAAAACCAGAAATTAAATACTACATGAAACTTTTTTGGTTACTAGACCATTAAACAGGAAGAAGTGTTTAAAACCAGAAGAAAAAAACACTACATAAAACGTTTGTAGATGTTGAACCAGCAATCCGAAATGGTTTTTAAAACCAGAAATCCAATAATACATCAAATCTACGTGTATGTTAAACCCATAACTGAGAAAGGTTGTTTAAAACCAGAAAAACAAAATAAACAAATACTGATGAGGAATTTTAGAAACTTGAGAAAAACACAACATGTGATCTTCCTGGATGTTAAACAAATACTTATGAGAAGTTTTAGAAACTTGGGAAAAACATATTATGTGATCTTCCTGGATGTTAAACAAATACTTATGAGAAGTTTTAGAAACTTAGAAAAACACAACATCAGATCCTTTTAAATGTTAAATCAGTACATATGAAGAGTTTTATAAACTTCAAAAAAACACAACCACAGATCCTTTTGAATGTTAAATCATTACTTATGAAGAATTTTATAAATTTGAGAAAAACACAACATCAGATCCTCTTAGATATTGTTACGACAGCGGAAGTCACGTGACCCTGGTAACACGTAATGCGTTCTAGAAAGATCAGGAACATCACGAATAATCCCGTATTTGCTAGACGCCCTCTATTCTTGTATATAAGTGATTATACAACAAAAAATTTGACTTGATATTATTTGGTCTTTCTTGCGTTCTACGCCCGCTAGCTAACAAATTACAACACTAAAACATCGTGTTTATAATCAACACTTGTTCTACATATTTCTAGGACTTGCTTGATCTTAAAATCATGTATCCTATAGCTAATATCTTAACTAAACAAACTACAACACTACAAATATAGCATATAAAACTGCCCCTTACTGGATTGGGAAGTCCCTTGAACAGTCCTCACAAAAAGTTGATTAAACACTACACCAAACTGCCCATTCATCAAATCTTTTTGGTGGTCTTCTCTTCCAAAGCAAAAGGTATACAAATGAGATGGTTTCTTGTCACTATTGCTTTGGTAGTTCTTTCTGGATAAATGATCGGATGAATCTACTGGCAGCTCCATTCTTGATGATTCTCGAAGCAGTCTCTTTAGGAGCTCCAGGACCATCCATAGGTTGAGGTTCCATATACAAGTTTTCTTTGTAGTAACTCATTTGGTTGTTCTGTCACTGATGTACTTCCAAAGATTATCACACTGTATGGCCTTTGGCTTGGACTGCCTCCCCTCCAATCACCTACCTGTCCTATATTGCAACGAGAACTGTTCAGCCATATCGTGATTGAATCCATTTGTATTATCACTTACAACATAGTGACCATTCGTTTTATCACAAGCCAATTTAAGTTTTCCTAGTAAAGTTGTGAGTGACATCTTTGTTCTTCATATACAGAAGAGCTCTTAAAACCACAATCCTCATGACATTCTAGAATGTTTAGATCCAGTACATACCAGTCACTGGATGAGGAATTATTGCTATTAACTCCTGATATAAGTATTTCACTTCTTCATGATACTGTCCCGGTTCCCACTATATAGTCACTTTCCAGTGTAGTAATTTCAATGTAGTGCACAGAGATTTTCGGAACATAAATTGTGAAGTTGGCATAACCTCACATCTACGTCTCTGCATGAATTCAGTTCCCAAAACACACTTTTCCTCAATATCAATTACTCACAAATCATGAGGCACTGAGTAATGACCTACAGTAAGGGTAACTTCCAATTTCTTTTTTGCCGAAACTTTATGTCCATCTGCTTTTCGCATCAATCCCTCTTCTTTTTTTTATCTTTGAAGGCAATTGCCTATCTTTCATTAACAAATCAGGACAAACAACTGTAGCTTGAGAATCAGTGCCAATCAGCATACTGCAAGGTATACCATCAATAAGCCGTGGACGATTTTCCTCAAATAATGAGCTTCTTCTCTCATTCATGGTAAATGGAGTATTTCAAGCCTAATTCGGCCTCATAGATTCAACTAATTGCCGTTTCAGTAATGTCAGGCTCTTTCTTATTCTTTTGATCTGGTTTGATTCTGTCTCCTTAGTTTGCGAACAGCTTTTGGATACTTACAGTCTCGGCTGTAATGGCCAGGTTTCTCACTATTATAACATATGGTTCTTTCTGGCATTCTTTAAGAACTCTTATTCCAAATACGCCTTTGCCTGTAGTTCCTGGCAATATATCGCTTGAAATTACACTTAAAACATCTATTATCTTGTCGTTTATTTCCTCTGTTTAATTAGCCATCTGATTAATTATTTCAATTCTTCTATACTACTGTTAGAGGGAGTAGATATTTCAATATCACAGGATCTGATGCCCATAACTTCTAGATGATGCATTTTTAGTTCATCTTTGAACTTAATGAATTGTAGTTCCATCTCCAACTGCAGTGCTTCCCTCAAGGACATACAACTATTTGGATTTAGTCTTATCCTCACATCCTCGTTGCTTATGGAATCTTTAAATGGTCATATGCCAAAGAATCCAACATCTCACGAACAGCAGCTGGATAAGGTAGGTAGACAAATCTTCTTCATATTCAGATATCTCTTCTTTCCTCTCTACCCTGTTCTTAAACTTTGCTCTGTATTCTCCATGCTGGTGTGACATTCCAAAACTGTTAGACAAGGCATCTGCTAATGCTTGACAGTTATTACAGTTCTCAATTTATTTAATGTTACCAAAATCTGGTCCTTTCAGATAGATAAATTGTTCTTCATTAATCCATCTGTTCATACTAGAAATGCTTTCAAACTGAGTCTTTCATGAGCCTTTCATAGTGCCTTCCTATCATAGTCCATTCACTTATCGATTGACCAAGGTTGAACTGGCCAGCTAGATACTAGAACTGGATTTGGTAATGTCATGGCTGGAGTAGTCCTGGAAGGTCCTTAAGTAATAGGTAGCACGGCAGTAGTAGTAATAGATGTAGCCAAAATATATTCTCCTATACAGTATTTTATGTTGAAACTCCTGATCTGATACAGAAAGAGGTGTGACTTAGTCTATGCATTTAATAATTCGTTTTTCAGATGCTGTATTCTGTCACTGATATTCCTTCCTGCATCATTGACGTCTTTTTTTACGTCACTTTTGATTCCAATAATTTTGTCATTAAAGCTTCTGTACTTCTTTAATTTTGTTATTGCAGCCTTTCTATACTTCTTCAATCTTACTGTTGTAATCTCTCTCTATACATTTCAGATAGTTGCATCGATCTTGTCTTCAGTCAGATTCGTTTTTTATTTTAATTATTCCTTAGATAGTTCGTCTCTTTCTTTTCAATTTTCTCTTAAATTTCTGTCTCTCACCTCTTGATCTTCTTTTGGTTTTCTGTAAATTTATTCTTGCCTTTCTTTTAATTTTCTATTTCACATTAATAGGTCGTCTTTAAATTGTCTGTCTCGTTGCTCTAATTTTCTGTCTCCTTCTTTCAGATCTTATTAATTTCATCATTTGAAATATTACTTTGTTTTCAGCACTTGACCATCTTACCAGTTGATGTGCAAATTAGAGTATTTCAAAGTTCTATTTTTCCACCAAAATAATACCACTCTTCTGGTACCAGGTCTATAATGTAGTTCTTTTGTTGGCGGAGTTCTTTTAAATTATATGGTATAAATAATCCAATGTCCACTTCATGTAAAATTAATAAATTACTTTATTTCCTTTAACACTTCTATAAACTTGTACACCGCCGTAAATTTCCTGTAGGCCTGGTTACAAGTGACTTTAACTAAGGTAAAACAATTCAGTTTATTTCCACAAAATAACCACAAGAACTAACACACTGAATGACTCAGCTCAATACCTTGAAAATAACTATACACTCTCTATCTAACCTAACCACGTTTCAGGAAATGTTTTATTTTTAATCTGTTTTTGAGTATGCTAGAAAAAAAAATTAAGTTACACCCTTCAAACTTTTAGGCTTTCTAAGTCCACTAGTTAACAAATTACTACATTAAAAATATAGCTTACAGCAGAATGACCAATAATGAGCAGTTTTCAGTAAATGTTTGTTCTTTAAAATACGGACAAATCCATAAGGCATGAATTGTAAATTTTGTGTTGATCCACATATATTCATCTCATACCTTTGTGATCGTTAACTTGCTGATTTAATGTATTGTTTTTAGATGACTGGTTTAGTTCTAAACGCTCGTAAAAGAATTCAACTAAATATAGATGTGAAAAGAACTCCTGAGCTAGAGTAAGTTCTCTTCCATATTATTTTAGTACTTTACATATCTTATAAAAGCGTGTTTACAAATGTTGAGAGAAAATGCCCAGTAAAACCTTATTAACACAACTTAAGCTTTCATAACTGACTATTTTGGTTAAACAAGATATAAATGCTTACTTTTCAATACTAATGATGATCCTAGGTTTTAATTTGTTATATGTTTTCTCACTTTTTATATAAGTGTTACGATAGCAGAAGTCGCGTGACGCTGGGAGCATGCGCGCTGGAGTTCCTGGAAAAATCATGAATTATCGGGGAGGCCCGAGTTTCTTCGAGGCGCCCTCTTTTTTAGTATATAAGCCTGTCGAGAAAAACCAGCGCAATTGCATAGATAGATAGATAGATCGAAGAGATAGATATAGAGATAGATAATTGAGTCAAGCGAACGGTAATGACGGTGATATAAAGTGTGTGTTTTGTTATCGAGATTGCAAACGTATTGACTGTGGAAATTCTGTGTATTACTAAAAGTTGTATCGAGAAAGAATAAACTAGTTTTAATTAAGAGAGAACTTTTGTCGCTGAAGTTTGTCAGAAAGAATTTATACCGGAAATTAACAAACGAGCAGATACGCAACATAAGGAAGACTGTGCTTACTAATGTTTCTTTCATTTCACAGGAGTCTTCAGAGTATCAATGATGTTCTTATTCCTCTAGCTTGGCTAAGTGAAGTAAGTCAATTTTCTCTGCCTGCTTCTATAATAATAATTTTTAAACAATCATAAAAGGAGTTGCATTTAAGCTAATGATCATAAAATATTATTAACTTTTAAATTTAAATGGAAACTGTTGTTTAAAATCAGTGAAACTTAATGTTTAGGCTTAACTTTCAGAAAATTATTAACCTCAGATTAAAAAACAAGTGTAAAAACAAGCCGGTAATTTTAGAATTACAAATATTACCGAATTGCAGTCCTAACAAAAGCATGTTGATGTTATGTTTCGTTTGCAGGCTTTGAATCATCAACTTTTCTTAACACTATAAACATTGAACACCTTAAAGTATTGAAATTCATACTAATCTTTTCACCGTTAGTATGATAATTGTGATGTATGAATTTAAAATTAACACTAGTCTTTTCAGCTTTGGCATCATAAAAGTGTCATATGAATTTGAAATTTACACTAGTCTTTTAAGCTTTGGTATGAGAAAAGTGATGTATGAATTTTAAATTCACACTAGTGTTTTTAGCATTGATGTGATAAGAGTGATGTTTAAATTTTAAACTTCATACTATTCTTTTCACTTCTGTTACGATATAACTGATATCCGAATTTTTTTAAGCTGTATTTTCAATGTTTTAATTTAGATCTAGATCTAGACAGGGCTGCTAATAATAAGATGTAATAATCGAGAGAATTTCCAAAAACCGAGAAATTAATAAATACGAGTAAGCAGTTACTTAATTAATGTGCCAGTTAGTTCAATGACTTAGAGTTCCATAAAGTATTCATTTGAATTGTAAATGGAATTCAGAGAAGTTAGTGAGTACTCATGTATTGTTACATCTCTGGTCGTTAGTTAATTTTCCGTAAAAATTCTTTCCGAAGAAACTTTAGTGACACAAGTCCTTTCTTAAATAAAACTGGTTTATTCTTTCTGAATACAACTTTGCAATACACTTAATTTCCACAGTGGCGCTATAACAAACGCTATAATTCACAACGAACGTCTCACGTGCTCGCTCAACAATACGTCTCTCTCTGTCCGCAGTTCAATTACCATTGTTGCCGTCACGTCTTGACCGTCTTATATGTACAAGAATACCGAAATCTAGTAAACGCTCGAGCATTCACGAACCTTCGAGAATATGACGTGTTACTATGGTCACGTGACCTCCGCTGTCGTAACACTATATTGAGTTTTTGTATTCTGTTAGGCTAATCAGTTGGCTAGCAAGGAATTTCTGTTGAACTTAGACACACAGCTGTGTACAAATGAAAGAAGCCTGTAGCAAACGTAATGGAAAAATATGTTAATTTGTTAGTGTTACATGAACTGGGTTTGGCCTTAGTTTTAACAAGTAATCCAAAAGAATCCGTCTAACTATAGAATATGTTACAATAATTGTTGTAAGAACTGAGATTAATTTGGTGAAAATTAAAGAGAACATTGCGTAAACTTTAACTTTCAATATTACCTCACGAGGCGATATAAGAAGTTTATTAGAGTTAACTAAACACCCAAAAGAAATTTGAGAATAGCAAAACAGAAAAGTAGAAGACATAGATAGAAAAGTAAAAGAATATCACGAAGAAATCTGTAGAAAATTGAAAATTCATCAAGAGATAAGAGAGGAGAATTTAAGAGAGGGGTTAAAAGAAAGATTCATAATATACACCTGGAAAAAAGTTAAGCACCCC